TCTTGACCTAGGCTGCGGCACTGGCCGGCTAGCGGCACAGCTAGCTTCCAAAGTTGGGAAGGAAGGCAAGATTGTAGCAGTTGATCCCAATGCGCAACGAGTGGAACTTGCCAGTAGGAATGTTCAGCGCCAGCACGATAACATTCAGTTTGTTGTTGGCACTGTGGATGATGCAGTAATCCTGGGCCCGTTCGATGGCATCTTCTGCAACTTCGTTCTTCATTGGGTGCCTGATGGAGGCATTCTGGAAACTTTGAAAACTGCTCTGGACTGCTTAAAACCTGGAGGAGAACTATGCGCCCAGATAACAGTTTCGCCTGGAGCACTACTCGAGGACATAGTACGGCTTGTTACTGCACATGATACGCCTCAAACGCTGAAGAGCATCCCTGGACAAGCTGGACTATACTGGAGAAATCAGTGCAAGTCAGCGGGATTTGACGTTCTTGTGGCTGCCGAACAGAGCCCAATGATTGTCATGGATAATCTGGACTCCTGCGTTACGACAGTTATTGCATACACAGAAGCAGATGTGAACTTGAAAGCAGTTGCAGCTGATAATGGTGAGTTCAGTGCCCTAATGAAGGCCCACAATATTAACTCAAGGACTGACAAAGTGGTGTTCAGAGATGCAACGCATGTAACGCTCATAGCACGGAAACCTGCTGATTTGTAAAAGCTGGATTGGTGACTGACGTGCCTGCTTACTCCACAACACCGGCGCATAATGATGTACATGTACAAGACTTCGTGCGTATTCAACTCAAATTCGTGTTCCGTCAGCGTCAGTGTCAGCAAGTACATGTAGTACAATTTGTTCCCAAATAACTTCAGGACAGTCTGTTCATGGTTTTCATTTGTATTGGACTCGTTCTCTACACTTGGGATAATGTAGCGGCTATTCTAATGTTGTAGCGTTGTTCTCTTGTAATTTAGTGGAACCTGTATTGATTAACTGAGTTTTATGTTTCGTTACATTGTCGACAGATCTCCTGTGTACCGGTTTTGTGGCACTGTTAGGTACCTCCTCCCGTACCTTTTCTAGCTGGCCTGCATGCACTTACGTACTCACCTTTTGTCTCCTTTTGTTCCGTTGGCCTGGGTAGCTACTTGCGCGCCCATATTTGCCATAGCTACCCAGGCCCTTTATCTTGCCGTTCAGACTTGATCTCTCACTCTCTCTTTTCTCACTCTTCAATGTAGTCGTTTCGTTCGTCTTGGTCTCTTGTCTCGTCTATAATAAGTGTCGTGCCCCCAATCTACCTGTTCCCGTTGTAATGTCTGGATATGTCGTCAGTCGTCCTGTTTCGAAGTCAACATTGGCGCCCGATTATTGATCGACCCACGACCCTGAGATCATCCCATGCCCAGCCGTCCTCAACCACCATTCGTCTCGTCTATGTCACCCTCGTCTCGTCCATGTCAGTCCCGTCTCTCCTACGCCAACCTCGTCTCGTCTCTATCAACCTCGTCTCTCCTACGCCAACCTTACCTCGTCTATTCTCGTTCAAGCCATGCAGGTCAGCTACCTTTCTCTCTTTCTTTTTTTTGTATGCTTCTTCGTCAAATTTATTTTCGTGAATATTTTTGTAGTGTGTGCGCGCGCGTGTGTTCGTAAAACATAACCAAGTTAGGGGTCCGATTATGGTGAGCCACGCTCCAATTTTTGGATGTTTAGCAAAAGTGTAACTAGGCTGTATTAGCCGTGCAAAATACTAGTAATTCACGTTCCTCGGCAAACTCCAATAGTTATTACACACAATAAGTAGTACAGGAATGATCTGTACGAGTGCATTTTAGTACACACTTTCGTGAGATCCATGCGCGCGTGCAGTATGTGTGTGTGTGTGTGTGTGTGTGTGTGTGTTTTCTCCTCCAGTTCATTTTTTTTAAATCTGTTTCTCTCTTTTTTTTCTCTCCGCGAGGACGCGGGATTTTTTTCATGGAGGGGTGGTATGTTAGGTACCTCCTCCCGTACCTTTTCTAGCTGGCCTGCATGCACTTACGTACTCACCTTTTGTCTCCTTTTGTTCCGTTGGCCTGGGTAGCTACTTGTGCGCCCATATTTGCCATAGCTACCCAGGCCCTTTATCTTGCCGTTCAGACTTGATCTCTCACTCTCTCTTTTCTCACTCTTCAATGTAGTCGTTTCGTTCGTCTTGGTCTCTTGTCTCGTCTATAATAAAATTAATGTCGTTCCCCCAATCTACCTGTTCCCGTTGTAATGTCTGGATATGTCGTCAGTCGTCCTGTTTCGAACTCAACAGCACAATGATTATAGCCACGAATTTTGTCGTCTCCATTCTTGTGCAATCATGCATATGTAGGTTGGTTCTCTTCATGTTATTTTTAACTATTTCATAGATGTTGGTTGCCTTGTTGCTTTCTCTCTCCTCTCCTCTGACCCAAGCCATTCTGCATAAGCGAAGCTGTGGACGCAGCATACTGCTGCTACACTTCAACGCGGGAATGCGCATAATAATAATAATATCATTGCATGATCTCCAATACTCTCCATCAATTTTTAATCTTCTCATCGCTGATGTTCTTCCACACATCTACGCGCTGCATGCTAGTTTAGCGTCATAGATCTGACACACTAGACATGGTTAGCATTTGACCGTTCACGCTATTTTCAACGATCGGCGTGTACAGTGGTGTTGTACGCAGCAGCAAACACCAATCAGCACGTCCCGAGAGAGTGCGGAGCTGAAACTGACCACGCGGGCATGAAGGTATAAAAGGAAGACACGTCTAGGGGTGGCGGTCGGGAACGTGGCGGATTCAGCTTGTGAGTTTCTGTTCCGTACGCTCGAGGGCTTGCCCAAGAGCGTACGGAGCAGAAACCTCAGCTGCTTGTGAGTTTGCCCAAGAGGAACTGAGCTGACAACGAAAAACTGCAACAGACTCCTGCCGAGCTAGGCACCATAGCCTGTCATTTGCATAGCATGCATGCAGGGCTTTGGAGGTCATAGCCTCATACTCATAGGTAGACCGTACTCCGTACCATGCTAGCAGGGCATTGCCATGCCGTAGCCTATGCAATACACACAATTTCTGCCCTGGTACAAGTCGATGCTGATTGGCTGTCGGTTGGCAACAAGCACGTGATATGTTTGAAAATCGCATCATTGATGCCAACGCACCCAGATGCTCCTATTCATCCTGGGAAGCTACTTCCAACCGCGCTGCTAACGCGAAGAAAAAGAAGTACCGTCAGGCCTCCGAGGACCTCCGTGGGTCGTTCACACCACTGGTTTGTTCCATGGATGGGGTGCTACATCGCGAATACGCCAGCTATCAGAAGCGACTTGCTGGTCGCCTCGCCCACAATTGGGACAAGCCATTTTCAACCATCATGGCTTGGGTGCGAATTCGCAACCAATTTGCAGTTTTCAATGCAGTCGACCTCCGGCTACGCGGGTCCAGAAGGCGCCTGAAAGGCCTGTCGACGCAGAATGGTGCCGGGGTGGGCATCGGCCGTTGAGAACTGAATTTCGTCCGTTTTACGTGGATTTTTGGAGTTTTCCAATGTATTCTACTTGAATAAAATTATATTTTACGTTTCATTTTTGAAACTCGGGTATTGAGCCAATAATAAAAGTAGAAAGGAAAAGGACATATGGAAGAGTAACTCTCCACCACTGTAACTAGATACTATATACAGTCAGAATGTGCAACAACTAGGCACAAAACTGACAGTACCCTGTACTCTGTCAGTTTTGTGCCTAGTTGTTGCACTTTCTGACTGTATGTAGTATCTAGTTACAGTGGTGGAGAGTTACTCTTAACTCGTTTCCATATGTCCTTTTCCTTTCTACTTTCATTTTTTATTTTTTTATTCCCGCCGTCCAACCCGGCAAATATTTAGATTTTGATAAAAACGATTCAAAGCCTCTCAATTATTTTGTAATACTTCTAAATATAAGAATAATATAATATACTTTCACACAAAACAAGCTCAGTGCAGTACTAATCGTGGGAGGGGAACCCGACCCTCCAGTGCCTCCACCATCGCCAACTCACGAAGCATGTGAACTGGACGATGACGGGCCGACCAAGCACCCCGGACACACAATACAGCGGAACGTAGCAGCGCGAAAGACACCCGACAGCGATAATATCCCATCAACGACGAATAGCTACCTCCCGAAGATTGAGACGTGAGCAGGCAATTTTACTTTCATGGTATCTCTATTTTTTTAACGTCTACATGACTTTATCTTGCCCGACAATGTATACAGTCGTCCCTCTCTAATCCGGCACTTTATAATGCAGCACCCTCGATAAACCAGCACAATTTTCAGTAGCCAAATGTCCTCTTCATGCACATTGCAGCAGTAGATCAGATTTGTTAATCCAGCACCCTCCCTAATCCAGCAGATTTCCGTGGCACAAATGGTGCCGGATTATAGAGGGACCACTGTAGTACACAATAAAATTAATGTGTGACTGTGTTTAAAAAAAGAGCAATGTGTGGTACATACATGTACATGTACGTACAGACTGCAGTATGCGAAGGTCATACGTTTAGGCTCAACAGGTGCAGGCCGGTGTACCTGTTGGTGTTACAATACATGACATCTAGTAGAGGTGAAGAGGCGAGCGCTACAGTTTACAGATCAACAGCTGCATCAGATCCAAAAAATGGGTTACGGAAGTTATGTTCGCTCTGCGGACCCGCGGCCACGATCTCGCTGACACCTGACCAAACCCACAGCACAGCGATCGCCTGAGCTGCATGCATGCTGGCCTAAGTCTAACGTCACTAGAGACGCCTAATGTCATTTTTACTGCCAGCTACTACAGTCATGTACAATCTTCAACTACAACAAGTGTTCGAGAAGATTATCGCACCAGGTTCATGAATGAAACGCTGCTTGAACGCGCTCGACGGTCATAGTAATTTTATTCTGATTCCGTCAAACCCAAAGAGCTGACCGCGCGCCGCCCATATATTCCTGGGCGTCAACAACTGGACATTGATCGCAGGGAGAAACATGTCGGAAGAAAAAGCTCAGCTCTATGATGAAGATTCCAACTTCCAATATCGCAACGGAATGTCCCTGATGGACGAACACCTAAAACCTAAAAGTGGAGATTGTATTCTTGACCTAGGCTGCGGCACTGGCCGGCTAGCGGCACAGCTAGCTTCCAAAGTTGGGGAGGAAGGCAAGATTGTAGCAGTTGATCCCAATGCGCAACGAGTGCAACTTGCCCGTAGGAATGTTCAGCGCCAGCACGATAACATTCAGTTTGTTGTTGGCACTGTAGATGATGCAGTAATTCTGGGCCCGTTCGATGGCATCTTCTGCAACTTCGTTCTTCATTGGGTGCCTGATGGAGGCATTCTGGAAACTTTGAAAACTGCTCTGGACTGCTTAAAACCTGGAGGAGAACTATGCGCCCAGATGACAGTTTCGCCTGGAGCACTATACGAGGACATAGTACGGCTTGTTACGGCACATGATACGCCTCAAACGCAGAAAAGCATCCCTGGACAAGCTGGAATATACTGGAGAAATCTGTGCAAGTCAGTGGGATTTGATGTTCTTGTAGCTGCCGAAGAGAGCCCAATGGTTGTCATGGATAATCTGTACTCCTGCGTTACGACAGTTATTGCATACACAGAAGCAGATGTGAACTTGAAAGCAGTTGCAGCTGATAATGGTGAGTTCAGTGCCCTAATGAAAGCCCACAATATTAACTCAAGGACTGACAAAGTAGTGGTGAGAGATGCAACGTACGTAATGCTCATAGCACGGAAACCTGCTGATTTGTAGAAGCTGGATTGGTGACTGACGTACCTGCTTACTCCAGGACACTGGCGCATAATGATGTACAAGACTTCTTGCGTATTCAGCTCAAATTCGTGTTCCGTCAGCGTCAGTGTCAGCAAGTACATGTAGTACAATTTGTTCCCAAAATAACTTCAGGACACTCTTTTCATGGTTTTCATTTGTATTGGACTTGTTCTCTACACTTGCGATAATTTAGCGGTAATTCTAATGTTGTAGCGCTGTTCTCTTGTAATTTAGTGGAACCTTTATTGAGTAACTGAGTTTTATGTTTCGGTACATGGTCGACAGATCTCCTGTGTACAGATTTTGGGCACAAGGATTATAGCCATTTATCGTCTCCATTCTTGTGCAATCATGCATATGTAGGTTGGTTCTCTTCAATCTTCATGTTATTGTAACCTATTTCATAAATGTTGGTTGCCTTGTTGCTTTCTCTTTTCTCTCCTCTCACCCAAGCCATTCTGCATAAGTGAATCTGTGGACGCAGCATTCTGCTGCTTCACTTCAACGCGGGAATGCGTATTAATAATAGTATCATTACATGATCTCCAAATACTCTCCATCAATATTTAATCTTCTCATCGCTGATGTTCTTCTACACATCTACGCGCTGCATGCTAGTTTAGCGTCATAGATAGGATACACTTCTATACTAATAGTAATCGTACGCAATACTATCATACTCAAAACCGGATGGCCAAAGGGCATTTGAGCAATTATCACATACCGTATTAGCGTCACAGATAGCACACTGGGCTCTCATTTTTTTCAATTGTCAACTATCAAGCCAACTCCAGTCTATACAGGCATAAACAGACCATAATCAAGACTGATTTTCTCAACCCTTAACTCAGGATTGTTGTCAAAACAGATGTTTCACAATAGCATTGGCGCCAGCAAGGAAGCAGTAGACCGAAAACCTCCTTACAAATAATATTTGTAAGGAGGTTTTCGGTCTACTGCTTCCTTATGTTCTTGGCACGTTAGGCTGCTGTTTTATATGCAGTCAATATACTTGTTGCATACTCCAATTCATACCGGCACAACTATTATAGACTGTGCTCTTAATATTTCAAACCACCCTCACCCCGGGTCATTATTGGAGACTGGGCTATTGTTGGAGACCTGGGCTGTTATTAGAGAAAATACGGTACATGTATGGAGCATTCACAAAAGTAAAAATATGGACAATTACATGCACATATACACGTATGTAGGATGGCCACGCGATTCTTGCGCTAGCTACAATGCACATGCGTGGTCACATGAGTTCATACGGCCATACATTTATTTATTTATTTATTTATTTATTTCACCTTCCCGTGGCCAGAGAATATAGGCCAATATGGAGGGAGGGGGGCGGTAGCCAGCCATGGCAGTAAACAAAAACAAAGCAAAAATAAATAAATATTACACATTACTGGAGGCAAAGAGAAACAAATGTGGATGAAGAACTAGCAGTTATTAGAACACGAGCTTCATGTTGGCCTTGAAATCCTTTAGCGTACAAGACGATTTTACTGATAGAGGCAGCACACACCTGTACATGTACATGATTGTATGTTACACATGTCTTGTTCTGGAATGGTCAGATGTCATATTTGCGCTTTTACTCAACGACTACATGTACATTGTACATGTATGCTATCAGGTTCGGCCTCATTTCCTCTGTGCTGCGCTGATGAGTCCACAAAGGACGAAACAGTTCTGTCCGCAGATTGAGTAATGACATGTTTTAAATGTTCGTAGAATGTTCAACAGCATTATTGTCACTCGCTTCTCGGAGGCAGCTTTGGGCATCGCCATTATGCTATTTCAGAGAAGTCTTACTACTATACTAGGCCCTTGGCTATACTGCCTTCACGACCAAGTAAAGGCTGGGATGCACATACATGTATGCAGCAAAAACTCCTTTTAAACATTCTAATTTTCATGTTGAGAGGTGCAGCGTGTGTAAGGCTCATAGCACGGAAACCGGTATAATAATAAAATAAATATTCAGATGGTGAGGCAAGGAAAAATGTGGGGCACAACTTGGGCACGTCTGACTGTTCAAAAGCTGGTTTGGTTGGTGGCCTCTAACGCATAACTTGTGCCCCACCATTTTCCTTGTCTAATTTAATAACGAGAGAGCTTGGAAGCTCAGGACCCTATGCTATGCTTTTTTGCCTTGATGACCTAGACAAAAAAAGCATAGAGATGTTATAAATTCTTACAAGTATTAGTTTCAACTTTTTGTTTTTAGACATAACCTGGGATTCGAACCCGCACTATCGCCCTGCATGCATCTCCCGATACACTTCGCATACATACTAATTCTTCCAAGTTGCTTCATGTTATGATCTTGTATTTGAAAGCCCTATTTGAATATGCATTGTGGCCAGCCGTCTTTGATTGTACGGTACGGGATAGGTACGGGACATGTACTGGACAGGTACGGGACAGGTACGGGACAGGTACGGTCGAGGGTAATACGACACCGTCTACCGCCTTGATGACGGCAAAAAAAGAAAAGGGATGTTATAAATTTTTCAATTCTCCTATTTTTCAGGCATTACCTGGGATTCGAACCCGCACTATCGCCCTACATGCATTCCCCCATACACTTCGCATTCATACTCATTCTTCCAAGTTGCTACACGTTATGATCTTGCGTTTGAAAGCCCTATTTGAATATTGCGGCCAGCTGTATGTGGCCAGCTGTGTTTGATGGTACGGTACGGTACGGTACGGGACAGATACGGGATAGCGCCAGGCGTGACACAAACACACAAACACACAAACAAACAAACACCAAACGAGAGAGCTTGGAAGCTCAGGGCCCTACGCTATCCTTTTTTGTCTTGATGACCTAGACAAAAAAGAATAGGGATGTTATAAATTCTTATAAGTTTCTACTTTTTGTTTTTAGACATATTAAACCTGGGATTCGAACCCGCACTATCGCCCTGCATGCATCCCCCGATACACTTCGCATACATACTAATTCTTCTAAATTGCTTCACGTTATGATCTTGTATTTGAAAGCCCTATTTGAATATGCATTGTGGCCAGCCGTCTTTGATTGTACGGGATAGGTACGGGACAGGTACGGGACAGGTACGGGACAGGCACGGGACATGTACGGGACAGGTACGGGACAGGTACGGTCGAGGGTAATACAGGTACCGTCTACCGCCTTGATGACGGCAAAAAAAGAAAAGGGATGTTATAAATTTTTCAATTATCCTATTTTTTCAGGCATTACCTGTGATTCGAACTCGCACTATCGCCTTACATGCATTCCCCCATACACTTCGCACTCATACTCATTCTTCCAAGTTGCTTCACGTTATGATCTTGCGTTTGAAAACCCTATTTGAATATTGCGGTCAGCTGTATGTGGCCAGCTGTGTTTGATGGTACGGTACGGTACGGGACAGATACAGCATAGCGCCAGTCGTGACACAAACACACAAACAAACAAACACACAAACACCAAATTAAAGCTGTGTGGACCCTGGCTAGCGCCAGACGTTACTGAAGTAACGTCTTCCGCATAGCTACGGGAATTAAAGCTGTGTGGACCCTGGCTAGCGCCAGACGTTACTGAATTAACGTCTTCTGCATAGCTACGGGAATAAAAAAATAATTATATCATTGAATGATCTCCAATCCTCCATCAATGCGTCCATAATCTCGCAGGTGCACAATCTTCTACACATCTATGCACTGCATGCTAGTGTCACTTTACAGAGGCTGGACACAAACAATTTTCATATTAATTAACCCACCCTTGACTCGCTCTTCTATCCAGGAACGAACCCCACCAGTGATTGTTTTACAAATGAACTGGTTTGTTAGAATGATGAGCATACACAGGCAGAAGAGCGAGTAGTTGCGGTTTTGTAACTCTGAGTTTTACGAAATGAATCGATCATCAGACAAAAATTGATACTGACCCTGCCCTTAGAGTACTGCTATATACATGTACTGTACATGCACCATAAATGTGGCAAGCACAGCATAACAATTACCATAATATTATATGTAGCGCGATATAGTGTGTGAGAAAGCGTTAGTTATCTATGTATTGTTACATGATATTCACATGGAATCAGGTGACAAAGCTTGACAAGAGATGTTCTTTGGCCTAACGTTAGCTGCAGAGAGAAAGTGTTATTTTCTGTGTATAAAAATTGTGAACTAAGCGATACTAGTATTCTGCTAGGATCACGTGGCAAAATTTGACAAGTTGATCTCATGGCGGCACTTCGGCAAAAAATAGCAACAACAAAACTATGCTCCACGTGGTAAGCCTCTACACCCAGGTGGTTTGAACGCTCCCTCCAGGTATCACAACTCGCTCCAAATGTACCGGCAACCACACTCATGGCGGCTTCTTTACAATCAATCTAACGTAAACCATTTCAACACCAATCTTGTCTGTCCTAGCCGTGATGTTGTTCACCTTCATCACCTGGCTGATCTCCTCGTCGGTGATGCCACATTCTTCTTCCGATACTTGTGCAAATGCCCTGACCATTGCTATGCAGCTGTCCAGCCCATCCTGCAGTTGTACATATTCCTCCTGATGTGCCACAGTAACGTCGAACCCTACAGACTCGCACAGGCGTTTCCAGTACTGGCTTGATTGACCAGGGGTACGACCTGGAGTTCGCGGTGTGGCCTTGCCTGTCAGTAGGCGCTCAAGATCAGCAAACAATGGTCCGGGATTGACGCCGACGTTAGCGCACATTGTTTTACCTGGCTCCAGACAATCCAGTACAGCGTGCAGAGTTTTAGCAATGTTCTCATCAGGCACCCAATGCAGAACAAAGTTACAGAAGATGTCATCGTATGGGCCCAGCTTTACAGCATCGAAGACAGTACCAGCGATAAACTTGATGTTCTTGTGATGAGGTTGGATGGTGCTTCTTGCGACCTGGATCCGCCCAACATTTGGGTCAACCGCCACAACCTGCCCTTGTGCTCCGACCTTATGCGCAAGCTGTGCTGCCAGACGACCAGTACCGCAGCCAAGATCAAGAATTCGATTCCCCTCTTTGGGCTTCAGGTGATCGTCAATGAGGATCGCACCTTGCCTGAATTGAAAGGCGGAATTCTCATCGTACAGTTTCGCCTTAGACACTGACATCATCACTGTATTGTCCCTCAGTGACACCTCCGAGCTGATCACTAGCAGTCGTAATTCTGGAGTGCAGCACTGAAACTCCACGTCTTTGTTGTTCCTCGAATATTCCTCGGTCTTAGGGCTCTGCTCGTCCTCTCAACAAGCGAAAATCATCCTGGTTGGTCACCCGAACGCTGACAGAATTTAGCCAAGGAACTCTAAGCATAGCACAATGGTTTCTGATCTAGCTCGCTAGTTTTCGTTCGAGAAGGTTGAGTCGTGCTTTACAAGCTCGATAGGAAGATAAAAGACTTCAGGTGCGTGTTGATCTGAAGCCTGAGTGCATGCGGTATTCGTACCTCACTGACACTGACACGCCACACTTGTGATCATGCCTATGCCTTTCTTTAGTCAGACCAACGTAATTGAACTAACGAAACATTCTTATAGTGTGGATGGACATAAAAACTATGCCTAGGTTCCCGTTAGCTGAAGATACCTGTATCTACGCTCGTCTTATTTGACTTCATTGAGTTTCTTGGTTGGTTTAATAACACAAACCTCTTGTTCTCTTGACTTCATTGATTACTGCGCGAACGAAGGTTTACGCGCGATCGAAAACTAACATACGGAAGTACGCGCGTACCGGCGGTGCCATACGTCAATGATCTGTCTCTTCTTTAGTCCGACCAATGTTCCCTAAATACCATGATATGCACGACTGGTCTTGTGATGCTGTGCAACCTGGACCTGATGCCACCTTCTCTAACTACGTGCTTCACTGGGTATCCTGCCGATAACTTCACGAACTCTACGATAATCAGGATCATCCAATGCTTGATGACTGAAGAATGGAACCAATCATGAGTACCAAGGCAAGATCAGCGAATTACATCTGTTCTACAAGAGAAGCTTGAAGGGTATGTACTTGTAACTGCACTCTCTGGTAGAGCTCAAAATACGAATGTGTTGAGTGCTATTGTATTTCCCCAACAGCAACTCAGAGTTACTCTACAGAGGAGACGTGCGCTATACATGTACATGACTCACAGCTGTCATGCTAGTAAACTGTTTTGTGCTAGTGAGTCGTGACCAAAATCTTATTTAGAGGGTATACATGTACGTCCTTCTCCTTCTCGGGGAAGCTAATGCCTGATGATGGCTATATTAAAGCGTGACACTCAGAGAAGATTTTTACATGCAGTGCTGGAAACTGAAATCCGACCCCCCCACCGAGCGGTGGGTTCACATTCGTTGTGATGTGAGCGCACCACTCAGGGGGTCGGATTTCAGTTTCCAGCACTGTACATGTACTTCAAGTACAGTCATGTAAAACTTTCGTGTGTACATGTACACGTACATGTACACACAAAAGGCACAACGGAGGTTTACAGATTTGTCGCAACTGAGAGTTTCTTGTTCAATGCAATCATCAGGCGACTACATCTAGATGTATATTTCCCTTTCTGGATATAATTATGGTATAGAGATCTGCAGCTACATGTAGGTAACAAAGTATTGCATTGTATTGTATTCCTTATTAAATTTTTACTTCACGAAGTCAAACGGGTTCATTGCCCAATAATTATGATAGCGAAGGGTGAGGGGGGGGGGGGGGGGATGACATTGCACAATAATTATGTCATGATCTAATGTATGAGTAGGAGTAGGGATGGATAGAGGAGCAGAAGAAGTATCATCTACAGTAGTGCAGTGCGTTCGGCGTGAGCTGCGAAAACAGCAAGACAATTATATTATATTAGTGTCAATGCATCTAATTCTGCACGCTGTGTTCAATCAGTGTAACGGCGAAAGCATTTCAGATCCACCAAGTTCTGGGTCCGCAACAAGATATCATTTCAATGTACGTGTAGCTAGTGTGTATATCAGACCACATAAACTTGCCTTTTCCTCAGAAATGATAGTATCATTTCTGAGGAAAAAGCAAGACTCTATGATCCACCAAGTTCTGGGTCCGCAACAAGATATCATTTCAATGTACATGTACATGTAGCTAGAGTGTGTATAAAAGCACATATCATTTCTGAGGAAAAGCAAGGCTGTATGATGAGCATTCCGATTTCACATACCCAATTGGTGTGTCTGTCATGGACAATGAAACAATGGCTTACAACCTAAAAGATGGAGAGTGTTTTCTCGATCTTGGCTGCGTGACTGGCCGTCTAGCAGCACGCCTCGCCTGTAAAGCTGGACAGAGATGCAACGTTGTAGGAGTTGTTCCTACTACTGGCAGGATCCAGCTTACTCGGAACAAACCTCAACGCCATCACCATAATATTCGGTTTCTTGAAGGCTTTGCGGATGATATGCTGAGTTTGGAACCGTACGATTGTATCTTCTCCAACTATGTCCTCCAATGGGTACCAGATGGGAGTATACACGAAGCGTTGAAGAGTGCACTGGCTTGCCTGAATGCGGGCGGATTACTCTTCGCCCACATCGCCCTATCACCCGGAGCATTGTTTGAAGATATTGAACGTCTTGTGACCGGGAGTAATACTCTTACTCTATTACATGAACATGTAATTTTCTTAGAACCAACTTCATGTAATTTTCTGTAAAAAAAAAAAGAAAAAAAAGGACAATCCTGGTTAAGCTGGACGGAAATGGAGAAATATAACTACTTGTACGTACATGTACATGTAAGTAATCGGTAGGATTTGGCGTTTCTGTGGAAACTGAAGAGAAGACGGTCGCCTCTTCGGACAACTATGCTACTTGGGCACCTTCATTGCTGTGGTGAGCTCCTTCACCGATTCACGAAGTAAGTTGACTGTATCTCCTCACTCATCACCTACAATACTACAATCATGTACCTTTACGCCGCCTGTCGCCATGTCACACCTTACATTCTCGCGGCCTGCGGCGTGCTCGTCGTGTGCTCCGGATGGCAGTCGTGAGTCAGTCAAGTTCGCATGAAGCGTGTGTTCCTCGTTGAAACATTCAACTAACTTCATCACCGAAGTCGCAACTTCTAAGTTCGTATTATTGTCCTTCACGCGGAAGTGCAACTACGTGTAGTCGTTGGAGATGACAGCGTTTTGAATAGCTATACTGGCTCTCAGCGTCTGTTTACCATAACTCTATGAGCGACTCTGACTCACGCTGGTCCCTGGGGTATCACCAGGTGTTTGTCGCGCTGGAATCGAAGCGTCTCAGAAAGTTTGTATCCCTGGTGATCAGGTGATGGTTTGGCCTGGTGAGCATTATTTTAAAAGGCCATTCACACGACGGGCAAACTTACTTTTATCGTACCGTTTCCAAGGATATTATTTTACTCCGATACGATAAACTTGGACACACGCGTGCAACTGATTTTTTAACTTGGTCGAGGCCCTTTTGCTCGCGATTATTTTTGCACGCCAGGAAAGGTGTCGGTTGTTGAAAGTGCGTACTGCAAATGCAGTGGTTGAACAAGGGAAAATTCAAAATTGAACATTTCCCGGCATTTTCAGGAGGTCACTATGGATACATTGACGGTTGCATAGTTCGGCCAGCACCGTGTGAACTGGATCACGGTTTGCCAGTGTTATCTTGGTCACACACGTGCAAGCGTTTACACGTAGTGTGAATGGCCTATAATAATTGCTATAAGTGCTGCCTTTCAGGACATGAACCAGGTACCTCTCGTATCCCAATCATTGTCTTCGAGATTGTTGTGCCCAATAGCTGCTACTGGACACCAATGGAATGCAATGCTAGCTTACTGGTTAAGGTACTGTACAAATATTGCACACTCGTTGCTGAACCCGGCTATCTGCCATCTTTGGCGATATCTGAAGTAATGAGAACTGTCAGAAAATAATGGATATTGGGCAAACCCCCACAACTAAAATTTCTGTTTGGTGTGATGATTCTACCAATTGGTTCATGCATATTGCAATTGGTTCATGCATATTTCAATTGGTTCATGCATATTGCAATGCGCAATACATGTGTGCATGATGCGTTATGCAGAGCTCACTGACTTGTCAGTTTGAGCACTCAGGCCAGGCACGTTCTGGCCTGGTTTAAATCTGGCTTTGGAAAATCTATTTTTCATTGAAATCAGGTTCGGCCTCATCTTCTCTGTGCTGCGCTGATGAGTCCACGAAGGACGAAACACAGTTCTGTCCGCAGATTGAGTGTGTGATTGATACATATGTAGTATCCCTGCCCGACCAATACGGAAGTAATACGGAAGTAATACGGAAGCAATACGGAAGCAATACGGAGCAACCTTATGTATAGTAATTTTAGTGTATCTTCGCATATAAGCATACGGCGTTTGCTGCATAAAAGCGGCTGCGCATTTCTGTTTTGATGAAGATTAGATTAGATTAGATTGGATAGCAATGAAAGCTAACTCGAAGAATAAGGATTCAGCCTCTAGGTGAGCACCGGAGAGAAAGTCAGTTATTTTGCCGCTTCTTCTTTCACGAACGATTATATCTCAGGTGTGTACCTGAAAGTAAAATAAAAGTAATTATTGTTGATTTCACCGCGCCTACCACTCGGCTACCTATACACATATACACTTATACAGTAAACCCTGTGACTAACGACCACCCCTTGGGGACAGAGAAAGCGGTTTTTAGTGGCAGGGGTCCTTGTAGTTAGAGGTTTTCTCCGCACAAATGTACATGTGCATGTTTACATGTATGAATGTGAGACAGTCCGTGCCTGGTTAAGTGGTCGGTAGTACGAGGCTGGTCGCTAGTCACAGTGGTCAGTTTAGTTACAAGTTTGTCTGTACATGCACATGTGCATGTACATTGGACGGTGGGCCTTGCGGAGTGCACATGCACACTCGTGCGCGTGGGTGTGAGTGCACGTACGTGGGTCAATGAAACATTGTGTTGCCTTTTACCAGGTTAATATTAAAAACACTAGCAACCCAATACTGAATAGCACGTTTAGAGGAAGAGGCAGAACTTTGGCTCAAAGATTTAAACGGGAAACGTATAGAGTTATTGGGAATTACTCTATATACCAAGTGAAGCAAAAGCAAGCATTTTCATTGCGGGCATTTTGCTTGTAGAGCACGATGACAAATCAATGCAATGATCATACGGAGTGATGTCCTCCAGCGGGAAATGCGGAAAAAGTAAAAAATTGTAATTTTTTGAATTATTCGAAGCGTCATTGAGTATAAAACAAAGAGAAGGTACTTACCCGTACACCGCAATGAGCAGAGAACATCTCTAAATCCAAAGCATAGCATGAAGAACTTGCGAAAATAAAGGGAAGGAGACATTGAACAGATTGCAAGGCGGATGAATTGACTGCCAGAGATCAATAAGGAGGGAGATTTAGAAAAAGCGTTTAAAGAAGCGACGAGCAAGGTTGCGAGCAAAGTCCAAAATGTTTTTCAGGTTAATAGTAGCACTGAACCTATGAGTAGAGCCAAGAACTACCAATTCCAATGACACACGAATCCGAGCACCAATCACTGAGCCAATTCCAACATCAAAACAAATTCCATTGACTCTAAAGGCAGTAAATATAGCGGTAATGGCACTAGTGATAGCATCAAATGTTACTTGGATGCCAGATTTGACGACTTCTGCTGAGCGAGACAGGATCCGGGCCTTCTTTACTGCCTTGCTTGCCAAATCAGTGACAGCAGCAGCAGCACTCACGGCTGCCTTAGCTGTTGATAGTACCAGCTCAGCGCCTTTGCGAACCAAGAAGGCTGCAGCACGTATGGGATGACAGATAACATTCTTGGATAGACAGATAGGATCTGGAACAGTCACGCTATGCGATCCGCAAAAAGATGGTAGTGGTACGCACACTGTCTGGCAACAAATTTTGCAACGCCACCGCCTGCAACATGGGTATGGCAAGATACAATTGCACCTCTGGACAATGCATGGCTTAGGGACTTTCAATTTTCTGTTGCAGTTACGTATTTTGCAGAGCTTATTGATGGCACTTTGTGCATCGCGGACTCCTGCCCCTGCCTTCCTCAGCGCTTCGTTGACCGCTTCCTCAGCACCATTCTTTAGATTGAAGAAATCCACTGCTTGTGCTAACTTCCGATCAACTTCGCGAAGTGCTGACACAGCCCTGTCAAGGTTTCGCCCAACAACGCTCCTAGCTTTCTCCAACGCTCCCTTGACGCCATGTACAAGTCTTGATCCAAGGTTCGTGCTGAAGCAACCATTCACATGGAAGTTGACGAGGGATGTTGGCTTTCGGATGTTTCCGAATTGCGCAGTAAGTGAGAAGGAAGCTGAGAAACCAAATACACTGCCAGAAAGCCGTACAAACAATCCGCTTGTATCGATCCTGACTTCCGTTGAAGTAGAGAACCCAAGTGGAGATATGACCAGACGGGCATCCATGATGAAGTGGAATTTCGGCGGCGCAACGCTGGCATGACCCACAAACTTTGGTCCTCGCCGTGAACTACTGGCAGAAGTGAATTCTAGAGGTCCGAGTGTGATCGGGTTGATAGACACCGCAGCAGTGAAAGATGTAGGAACTTTATTTGCCATGCCTACTGTGATGTCAATGTTCACATTCAGAAAGAACAGGATGTTGACAGTCCCTTTCACAACCAAGCCGGCCTTGATATTTTTTCCGCCGGGCAAGATACCGGATGGTATATTTCGGTTGATTGGTGAGAAAGAGAATTCCACGCCGCGGATGGTGACTATGTCAACAAGCTTGAATATGGGGCTATTAGGAAATCCAAGAGATGTTAGCAACTTGGAGAAGCTCAGCTGGTTGAGTGAGAAGAAGAAATAGTTGTCATCAGCATTTAGGGCATCCACACTGAATATACTCTGAGTAACTATGCAGTTGTCTATGTTCCCAGTGTAACAGTTTCGTCCAATGGCAATCTCCCCTCCAAAGCGAAGCATACTGAAGCAGGCGAGACATGGCAGATGGGTTCTGAACCCGAGGTCTACATTCCCGAAAGCCAATATTGGGATTCCGAAAGCTCGTTCATAGATTCCGGTCATTCTTAGCGTTGCTTCAAAATTGGAGACTGAATCAATCAACATTGTACCCTTGAAGTGCAGCTTTTTTCCCCCGAATGGCACCGGGATGTCCGTTTCAATACTAGTCAGCCCAGCTAGTGCGGGCAGTGCTGAATTGCGGAGATCAAATCCAAAGTCAACGTTGTACAAATTGATCGGTCCGAGCCTCAAATTTTTAGGCAGCCGATAGCCCAATCTAACCCGAGGACCGGTGATTTCAGTTGCACGCAATAGTATGGCTTGGTCACCTATTATCAGGCGGCTGAATTTGCATATGGGATCAATGCCGCAAGCATCTGGCAGTCTGAAGGCCACTACGAGGCCCAGTCCTTTGTCGATGTTGGTTTCTTCACTAAGAGGATAGGACTGGATTGGGAATGGAATGCGTGGAACATTTGTGGCACTCAAAGTGATTCCAATGTCCGATTCTCCCCGGAGCACCCCAAGGAATGGAATTCTCGCTATATCCAAGCCTGTGAGAGTGTCAATCATCTTAGCCAAGCTGAAACCGTTCACGCTGAGTGTAAGAAGTAGCTGACGTGGTGAAGTGCTGGCTAGAGCTTCAACTGTGAATTGTCCAAACCCACTCATGGTAGGCCTTCCTCTGATGCGAAATACAAGATCACCAGATAGGGGATTCACCTCGAAGATTGGATTGAGGATTGAGGATTGGCGCAGATCTAGCCCATCAATGACAGGGTTGACAAGGTTCATGATATCGGAGCCTATCAGGTCAAATATTTTGCTGAAAAGTATAGTTCCTGCAGGAGATGTCATGCGAACATTGAATGATTGCGTAGTTAGATCGTAGGTGATTTCCAGGTTGAGTGGCAAGGTGAAAAGTTTAGCTGTTCCCACAATTGATAGAGAAAGGCCAGAGTTAGGCAATACTGAGAGTCCATTTGTAGACGGTGGCTTTGTGATAGTGGCTCTGACTGTTGAACTAGAAATTTCTAGTAGGTTAGGAATAAGGTTGAATTTGCTCAAAGAGGCTTCAATTGTCAGATTCCGAACGCTATCATCATACGCAAAGCGACTCAACTGGAGGTCAAACACGCCAGGAATGATATTGGAAAGTGATCTGAAGATATCAAAGTTTTCCACTCCTGGAAAGAGGTGAGACAAGATCTCGTTGAGCTTTGGGAGTTTGTTCATGTTGATTTCAAAGCCATCGTGTCGCAAGGGCAGTCTAAAGATTTTGCGCAGACCTCCTATCTCTTGTGGAAATTGCAACGTGATGCCCCTTGCGATTGCGGAGTCCAGCCCCAGTAAATCGGTGAAGGTGAAGCCATATGGGAGATCACGAAGTGCATCACTGGCCATGGATAAGCTTATAGCTGGCGGAACAAGATCACTGAGAAATGGCAAGCCATGGAGTTGCACACCACTCAGCTTCTTGACTATGCGAGGTAGTGAAATGCCAGTCAGGTTGAATACAGCAGCTGCCTTTGGGTCACCCAACCCGAAACCAGAATATACGATCTCAACTTTGCCTCTCAGGTCACCTATCTCCGCCACACTGGTGATGAAAACGTTGGCTGGCCCTTGGCCATCACGAACTATGATAATCACAGAATTGTTTAGACTAAAGCTGTTGAATCCACTTTGGTCGAGAACTCTTGACAGCACATTTCCTTCAGGAATGAACGATGCTCCAAATGAGTTTATAACGTCGTTGACAGACAGAACTTGAGCAATGGTTGTTGATGCTTCCATCTTATCTCCCATTTTCTGGATTGTTACAACTGAGGTCACAGGGCCGATTGTCATCTCTCCCTGTACCATTAGACTGTGATGGGTACGGACGCCATCATTCCTGATACAAAGACGGAAGTGTATGTTGCGCAAGGTCACCACACTTGGAATGATGTTGAATGTTAAACCAGCTACCGAGGCCCCAACGCAGACCCTTTTTGCAGGAATCTCCACATGAATGTGATCGACAAACACGCCGCTGAGCCCCGGGAGTCCATCCGGTAACGCAATCCTTGCCAGGCTGATGTCAGGAAAAGCAAACCTCGCAAAGTCATGAAGGCTTATGTCAGAACTCTGGGCCTGTAAGCATGAAAATAGAAAGAAGAAAAAACGTATCATTGGCAAATGCTACGTGAAATCTGTATAATGGTAGAAGGTGGCTCTCTGACATGCCACACAGTTAAACATTTTAACCAGTCCATCGTTATCTGAAGAAATGTTACCACATGTAGTGTGCTATTCCTTCTCTCCTATGTACCAGAGAAGCAGAAGACGGTTTTGATGGCCGGATAGTCTAACTATGTGTCCCATTTACGTACTTGGATGGTGAGCCAAAGAAAAATTTAGAGAAAAAAATGGAAAATAGTCAGATCTCATACTGCTGATTACAGTAAACAGATACAGATCAGTACTAGTTCTTTATACCCCACTACAGCTTCTGCCAACAGTTTGCAAAAGTCTGGTTCAATTTCTCCTCTATCAAGCAATATTTTGACTTAGAGCAGGCAGCATCAAAAACAATGTTGCTTGTTATGCGCACATGTAGACTTTCCCCAATTATGATAAGAGTAGGCTGCACTTTTACTGGCCTTGAATGCCACAATGCGTTTTCAGAAAACCAGTCGAACTTGATACTCGATATTGACGGGGACTTAAAAGCACCCGCTTCAGCCATTAGTTGCTTACTATACAATGTAATTACCGACTATATCACTGAGTGTCTTAATGGCTGAGCTTTGCTTCCCTCCCTGTTCCATTCTTTCAATTTGTACATTTCTCCATGGCTGGGTGCCGCCCCCATCCCTTGGGTTGCTCGGAACTTGCTCCCCATATTAGCGCTGCTATACATATGCTATGAATTGAGTTGAATAAATAAATATATGCTAAATATATGCTGATGTCACAAATAACACCGGCAGTGGACACACTTTTCTTCGCTGGGTCCATTTCCCTGAAACATGAGCTGCAACATCCCTTCGTGCATTTTCTGTGAGACTGGATGCGAGGGATTCCTTCCCCTGCATTATGATCGAACACCATTTCCTCCAATCTGATACTGTAGAACGGGTAATTCTAGCGACTATTAGTTTTAGCATTTTCCCATTGTCAACCGGTTAGCGACGTAATATTTTAGCTATTTGTATTTTTCTTCATTGTACACATTTTGATACTGCATTCTACTACTGTATGTACAAACCATCACTACCGTGTACTATGAGTGCTAGTACGAGAGAACATCATAAAACATGTGCTAATAATTGCCTTACTACTACAGTCAAATCTGTCGTAAGCGACCGCCCCTTGGTGCAAGAATAAGCGGTCTCTTACGGCAGATGTATGGTAAATCCGGCAAAACGGGCATGCATAATAATATGCTTCCATGTACTCAAATCGACGAGAATAATGTGATTCGTAATATCATTTTATCGGATATTCAATAAAATATAGGGGTGCACAAACCCAAGAATAGTGCACATACCAGGGCTAATCTTGAGAGCTACAGCGCAGCCTCAGTACAGGCCAGGGCCAGTCGATCGCACTTGCAAGACAGCGCATTTTCACACCTTGCAGTTGACAGCGCACAGGCAAGTACAGTTTCGCACCTGACTGAACCTGGGTCGCGGTCGCTTGCAGCAGATTTGAATGCAGCCATCGTGCATGAAATCGCGGTCGCTGGTCGCGCACAGCAGATGGTCGCTCTGGACAGATCAGTTTGTATGTGAAACCGTCGGTGCACTAAAAATCGGTCGCTAACGGTAGATGGTCGCCTACAGCAGAGGTCGCTAACGGCAGATTTGACTGTACTAGTACTGTAATAGACCACTAGTATTACTACGGTACTACCAGCAAATCACCAACCAGCTCCAGAAGAATGAGAGGCATAAGCACCGCAGCTACAGTGAGAGGATCAACCAGATCGACCGTGGGTCTTTCACACCTCTGGTGTTCACCACAAATGGCATGCTCGGCAAGGAATGCTCCATCTTCCTGAAGGCATCGGTGTGCCAGATTATGGAGAAGAATGCTGATTTAGCATATTCTGTTGTTGTGAGCCAGTTGCGATGCCGCCTTTCATTTTGTTTGCTTCGGTGGTGCATCACCTGCCTGCAAGGCTCTCGGACATCATACCGGTCACGTCGATACAGTTTCGTGAGTGAATCATTGCTGGATGATGTCTAGAGCATGAAGTGGTCCTTATGGTGGTAACTTTATGTGCACAACTGATTTGCTGTTGTACGTCCATGCTGTCTTGGTGTACTTAAAAAAGGTTTAATGTGCTCTAATTACCCTGGCTGGTTAAACGGAGGATTGAATTGTGTTCTGCTTGCTCTTTTCTTTGCGTTGTTGTTTTCATCACCATTGATTTCACGATCTATTTATTTTGCCCGTACAAGAGTCTTTAGTAGTATTACTACTACCGGTAGTCATATTACTACTACCGGTAGTATTATTACTACTAATGGCAGTACTACTACTGTGTGTAAATCCGGTCGCACGTCTAGCGGCCCCAGGGCGCTGGCCATGCAGCCGTGGATAAGCGGTACACACACATGCAATAAGCGCTGCAGCCCGCTGGTCGCATTGGATCAACAATACACGATTGTGCACTGCACGTAGCGTTCTGTACGCGGCCCCGGTCAATCGACTGGATTTCCATGTCCGCTACAGTACTACATGTACTATGATGTAGTACTCCATTGTACTCACGGATCACCAGTGCACTACTAATGTCTCAACGGATTAGCGACTTGAAACTTTAGCGAAAATGAGTCGATCGCTAAAATCGCTAGGGTTTTTACGTCGCTAAAATTACCCGTTCTACAGTATAATTATAGTTTCGTGGAAAGCGTATCAAGGAAACCAGGATACTTGCAAGGCCGTCACAGCCGGGGTGGCTAAGGCCGCCCCACTTTTTCGGCTTTTTTTAGAGCACATTACAACAAAGCGCGATGATCGCAGCTTAGCGCAAACGTGCCAAATCCTTATCCCCGATCGTGGTTTGTTGCAGAAAAAGTCTTTCATTGCAGTTACACTGAAATGGCACCAAATGCCCGGAAATGCTTGCAATTGGCTTCAATTTTTGAAATATTTTCCCGCGGAGGACCCCGGACCCCCCTTCCATAGCCCCGCCTTCAAAGCCCGTGCGACGGGCCTGCCTTGTAATGCTACGTGAAGTAAGAAGAGAGCACAAACAGCGTGACCTTATATAGCTACTTGGAGGTTTTCCATTAACAACAATAACTTCATGTTAGCAACAACATCTTTCTCTTACCTGTAACTCAAAGGAGAAGTCACTAATTTGTGCCACAAAGTTCCTTTGACCGATGTGTGGAATTGAAAATGGCATCAAGAGTGACATTGTGGCATTGTTCATGTGCCTGGAAAGCTCTTTCAGACCGCTGCTGACGAATGGGATATTGTTGCCATCGACAGTGCCACGAGACATCCAAAGAATACCCACGTACGGTACAGTCAAGTCTGCAAAGAACGGTATCTGCGAAATGGAGATGCTTGGCAGAATAGAGCTGAGTGCATCGGCCAACGTAGTTTCTGATGTTTGAATGCCCAGAGCAGTACGAGTAAATGAAGTAAATGGCTGGTCGATGACAAGTTCAAACGTCACGGTGGGAAGCCGTCGATAAGTCACTGTGGCGGTGAAATGAAGCATCAACTTTGGGTACCTGAATGCGTTGATGTGTAGGTTGGAAAGAGTCAAATCAGAGATTTGAAAGTTGTCCAAAGCATCTGACAGGCCGGCGATGCTATCATCGAATGAGTCCGAAATATCACGGATTGTTAACTGCTGTTCGAGTGGCGTAGCAGAGAAGGTGCCCCGCTGATCCTGGGAAAACTTTACCTTCAGAGGAAGAGAACCCAGAATCGCTTGAGACTCAGCTGAGAACCTGAACGTTGCAGGTGAGCTGCTGGTATCCAAGACAATGTGGACTGTAGTGTTAGTAAGTGACAGGTAACCGGGCTTGCTAGGAACCATCTCGATTGTATTTGGCCAATGAAAAGTCATTTTGAATGCCATTATACTTTCGTTGTAACATATCTCCTGGACTTCAGCTTCCAGCAGGTTATGAAAAGGCTCTGGTAATTCGAGGCTGGCGATATCTAGTAGGGGTGACAGAACTTGGATGACTTCATTAAGGCGTGTTGCTGATGCATCGCCTCCATTATGCATGATGAAGCAAAGTGGTTGCTGGATGCCAAGTTCACCACTGAGAGAGAACAATTCTGGCACAGCGTAAAGCTCTGACCCGAAATGTGCATGAAAGTAGATCCCTGGTAGCTGGAGCCTGGGATCTTTCAATTTCAGCACAGGTACCTTGACATTTGGCAGGTGGAAAGTAGGGAACTCAAATCCAGCGGGCTTTTCTGTCGTCTGGAAAGAAATTGAGAAATCTGATAATGGCAATGTTGAAATTCCTGGTAATGAGTTGAATTCCAATTCAGGTATGAATCCTTTGATAGCAGTTGGCAGCGCGATGCCTTCATTTATCTACGATGCATTACAAACACAAAAATACACAAAAACAGATACCCAGAAATGAGAGCTCTGCGGATATTGGTGTGTTGATGTATAATGCTCCAAGTAATATTAGAAGGGCACTCTTCTCACCAGATATACATAGGGAAAGTGAACCCAGCAATAGAGTAGGAATTGACACACTGGCTGGTCTGCTGTGGGAAGAGGCTGTAGCCCGAATGCAGATAATTTCACAAAAATCCAGCTACCAGAAAATTTCTATTGAAAGTTGTGTGAGCCATAAATTGAGTTACTATGAGAAGTAGAGTGTTCAAAATGGTGAAAAACGAAGTTGCAGTTGCTTGCATAGCTGCACGTCAGCACCAGTTTTCACTTGAAATGCATTAATTTTGCAGGTAAGTGTCCTCGTATATGAAAAGTCGAACATATTCAAAGCTGCCATCACTTTCCCGGTTTGTATGGTACTAGGGTGGCATTATCTTTCCTAGCGTTAACATTCGATGCCGTAAGTTGGCGCTATAAGTGTTCCTTGTTCTCCTCCGTCCCTAAATCTTGTCCTGTTTCACCCCACTAACGAGGCTTAATTTGCGTTGCACTCAATTAGACTAAGCTTTTTGCATCCAAAGGAAACCAGTACCACCCTCGCTGGATGACAGGCACACATGGAGCTCTCCTCAAGTGGTGGGAGGCGAGTAGATCAGACCGACCGTCAAGTGATCAAAACGTTACCTCCCATTCGTATGTTTTCCTCGTGCCAGGCCACGAGTTTCAAATTAGCAGTGGGTCCTAGCACAGCTATAAAACATCGTTCCGCTTCCAAGCAGGATTTGCAGCTGGTACCCTCTGTTTGTCAATTATAGTCTAAACCATCCCGTTATGCCTGCCTGCTATCATTTCATAAGCATAAGAATTAGTCAGGAAATACTTACCGAGAACGAAAATCCCACTCTTCTATTGGTTGCATCTAAGATGTCACATGCCTGGAGCAACACTGACATGTTTAGCCTGTCAAAGGCAGCCAGGACCGGGTTGCCAGTGATCTGCATGCAAATGTGACCACCAGCGTTGGTTGCCAATACCTCTGCATTCAGAACATGAAATGAGTGCAGGCCGCCAGATTGCAGAACATTGTGTAGCCCTGCTAGTCCAAGGTCAGCAGTGCCAATCACATTTCTAGTCAGATTCCGGGCAGACTGGATAAGGACGCGAAAGTAAAACGTCATTGGCATGTCTCGGTTAAAGATGACCTTAAAGCCAACTTCATCGCCTTCTACATCATCAAGCCCAGTTGAAGCAGATAAATCTGATGAGATGATCGATAGCATATCACCGATGCTGAAACTGGAAGCCTTTCCATTCATGACCGCTTCCCCTCTGGTGACGTTATAATTGATTGAAATGGCAACAGTCGTATTATTGCCCACAATCCAGTTTGCAGTAGCTGTCAAGGACGTGTGAAGCACTGATGGCAAACGCAACAAATCACCGCTTCCGTGTAGCGTCAATTGGAGGGTTAGTACCGTATTTTCGAGATGAAACGAGCCAGGCAAAACTGAGCTGGCAATGTCGTCGGGCAGCGGAATAGGAATAATTGTTTTCCCAACAGAGGTGACAATTTCATCTACGGCTGGGCACAAGGATGACATCGAAATATTGGATGGAAGCTGCACATAGAACACAGGGTAGAGTAAAAAGAACCCTAAAATGGAAACTTCACAACCGGCAGCAAAAAATGCACTGATTCCAATGGTAGGTCGCAGGTTGATCAAAGCAGCCGTTCCAAAGTTTTAACAGCTTCAGGTTTTCTTGGAGCAGCTGTTCCAAAGTTATAACAGCTTGACGTTTTCACTAAATTTCACTAAACCCATCCGATTTCATTCGGACAATGGAGAGCCAAAAGACTGCTACATGTATATCCCCATCTGCTCCCGTACAAAGTCTCTGACGTCACAGATCTGGCCTATCCTGGGCGTCCATACACAACATTGAGAGAGAAACCTCGAAATTGCAATCTTTATTAAACTTTACTCACTCCCGGACATGATTAATTCTTACAACTCGGCATTTTGCTCTCGGGTGGGTAGACCATAACCATTAATACCTCCTCCGTTGGTTTGTCCTAGTTATGGATTGCAAGAACCGATATCCAAAAAAGGACAAGCATTCTATCTATTTAGGTTTGAAAATATAATTCTGAATACAGCCAACAGTGGTCCAAACATATTCTTACAGTGAACCTGGCAAGATCTAATCCTGAGACAAGATCTTCCAGTACGTCGTCTAGTTGTTGGCATGTCCGGCGTTTGAACCTGTTGGTTAGTCCAACGGGTGTGACGAGCCGTATAGAGGTGAGTTTTTCCAGGTCAATGCCAGCCACAGACGCACGCGGCTGTGGGTTGCTCAAAACCCGGACCAGTCGTCGAGCGTTTGTAATAGCCGACTCGGTGGCGGTATCAACTGTCGTGATATTCATAGTGTTGTGTCTGACGCGGACATGATGTACGCCACCATTGTTCGTGACATTGAGCTGGTATGTCAGTAGTTCCTCCATGGCACTGTGGCCAACATTGTATGTACGTAACGACTTTGCCACTCTTGGAATGGTCACAGACACGATGTGTGTCTCTGTATAGGACATAAAATAAGAGAATGCAGCTTGTCAATGACCTACTTGAGCCGAAACCATGTTGTCAAATGCATGGTTTAGTCTCTGAGTGAATTTCAGTCTGACTGAAGGCAGTTTTGCTATCGGATAGAGCATGTAAGTGAAAGTGAACGTCTTTCCCTAAACTGCTAGCTTCAAATTCCATAATTACTCTCCATGCACATCCATATAATAATGGAATCACATTCATTCTCACTCCTCACCAAGGCAATGTGATGGCTCGGTTGTATCCAGAATAAATCCCACTCGGCATTCACAAAGCCCAGTGTTCACCATGCAGAGATGTTCACATGGACGTAGCCGCTCTGAACAGAGATCCTCCGCTCTACTGGGCTCACTGGACAGTACATCCCTAAAATGGCAAGAGTCAACATCTTGCTGGCTGGTGTGAAGCCTTGCACGGGCATGGTTTAGCAGAACAACTGAGCCTTTCAGAAGGAGACCTGGTGGCACATTCACGTGGATGTCCGCATGAAAGTGGGAAGAGCCTAACTTGCTAGTTGGAACCTTCTCTTGCTGCAGACACATGAAAGAAAATCATCCCAGAGAATGGATCGCTCACATCGCATAGTGCGAAAACGTCACCTTGACGTGTAAAAACACAAAATGTGCACTCAAAGTGTTTCCGTTGTACTGTATAAGTACAAATTTTCGTTTGGAATTAACTTTTGCTATATTCGTTAGGGGGAACGAAATAACTAAAGTTTGTACCAAACTAAAGCTATTTTTCTGACCGTTCGGGGTGACAGACCTCGACCAAAAACGAAATTTAGTACGTAACAAGCCTGCTGGTGGAGTAATAATATTACGAAAGATTTCGTGAACGAATATTTGTACTTGTACAGTAGTGTCTGGGGCCAGATAGGTAAAAGTCACAGCAACATTAGTTGAATTATGTATGAGCATTGGACAAGGAACTAGTAGTTGTATCACCCATTGACAGCATGTGAATGTGTGGAGGTTACGCATCATTAATATACCATTTAGATGCACCGTGCACATCTTTCATATTTTAGCACATAGGCTTTGTGTTAGGAAGGAACTGTCACCTATCTTGCATTTATCACGCATGCACATTGCACTCGTCACATGTGTAAACTGTCTATGCACGCTAACACTATAATCATCATGCTGGTGCAAATTTTTGTTCACACATCTGTAAAAAAAAGAGTAAATTATCGTGTCCGTTCCCGAAGGGAACTCACGACGGCCACTAACACCCGATAAATCCTAGCGGCAGATGCAGCACATCTGTAAGGTGCGACATTATTCTCCTGCATGGTACTAGCTATAGCATCTTCAAGGCGCTGGTCCTTGTTCCTGAACCTTCTTCTAGAACGATAATTATTATAATGGGGAGAAGCAATTATTTCATACAATGCTGTACAGAACAACAAGTACAATCAAGGCTTGTTTGCTACTACTTAAAACGGTTCATGCTTTCGCAATCATCAGGCAACATGAGGATGCGGTACTGCCCATGCCGGTATATATGCCAGGAGAGGGTGGGTCTTGTAGCGCCGTATGAAAAGCTATACAATGATGTACATAAATAGGAGGAAATACCAATTTGTCTGTCCTCTTTCCTATCCATGATCACCAGCGGAGTTAACGCTGTGCATAATACTGTATTGTAAATCTGTAAGGACAAAAAGGACTGTTTTAAAGCAGTATCCATACCATATTGTAATGCATGGCTCCAGAGACATTATCAAAACGCAGTTCAATTTCTGGCAGCGTTCCATTGACGTAGGCAGATACATACGGATCGTTTCCGGTCTCCAGGCAGTTAAAAACAACTGTAGCCTGGATGCAATGGAAGTAAAAAAATAACAGACAATTAGAGAGGTGACTGTGCACTATAATTCTTTTACGAAGCTCAAATGGAATGAAGGATTAGTCAGATCTACTTTTTAGAATATGACAGACCAGTCCTATATTTTGACCTATCTAGCCCACTTACCTCCCGAAGAAGGCACTACCTTTTAACAGTGCCTGTAAATCAGGGATGGTCAATCTAACGTTGATGCTGTTACGAATTTTGGTAAGAGAGCATCAATGAACTGTAAAACTAAAGCAAGAATATTTCTCGAATAATAGTAATTGTGTTGGTGAGGTGGATAGAGAAGTATGGTGGGAAGAGAAATACTGCGGACGCAAGATCTGTTGTCCGGAAAGACCCCACATGGCAAACAAAAAAAATTGTTTTCCCTCTTTTCTGCGGAAACAGGTCACGCGCAATTTTGTGATTACACAGGGGAAAAGCCCATAACGTCAATTTTGAATGGAGTACAAAGAAAAGCAATACAGCATGTGTAATATTTTGGATTGTACTATCACAGCCAGTACCCCAGTCAAGTAAGTGCACTGAAATAGGGTTCAAAATTTACGAGAACCCGGTTGATGCCCTGGGATCAAACTTTCTCTAAATCCAGTGTCTGCTCCAGACCCGTGTTAGCCGGGTCAGCGACCCGGTTGGGAGGGGGGGGGGCTTGGACCCGCTCGTAGGAAGAACACCGGGTCACTTGTGACCCGGTTGGGACTCAATCAGGGAGTCCTACGATTCCCTGATGTACATGTGCAAAGGCTGCACTTGAATGTACCCGGGACTGACCCGGTTCCAAGACTTGTGCCAGGTACACTTGTACCTGGTTGGTTTGATATCCTAAAGCGGACACTACTTCATTCTCCAGACACTAAAATCTATAATCAAAAAGGCAGCAAAGAGAGGAGAATTCTAATTGCGTAGAGAAGAGAGTGCATGGAGTCATACTACGACACCAGCATTTTAAAAAAATGGATTCGAACGTCATTATTTTTGTATTTTACAAGTCTCTGATTTGAAAGTCGTTTTCATGTGACAATCATCGAGATCTTAATCACAATGGACTACACCCATACCTCGTTTATCTGGGTAGTCCGGGACCGGGCACTGCCTAGGCTTTCCCCAAATCGGCCCGTTTTTCGCCTATTCGGCTTTTCGCTCGCCTCCAAAACACATCAGATTCGGCTGCAAATTGGGAATATATTGGAAAATTGGCGAAAATAATTGTTTGCATATTGGCTTCAAAATTGGTGAGATATTAGGAGGTTTGGTAGATTTTCGGCGATTCTGTGTCTGTGTCTAGTTGTATACCATTGTATATGCAGGAAACACGGTGTATCAATTTCATAACTTTTTGGATAATAGCCATAATAATTATGTCACTACTTCCTCCGCGTCATCGAAATTGTCGCAGTTTGACTAGTGACTTGTCACTTGTTACTCACAACTCCATAAGCTAAACCATTCAAAACTTACTACACAGTATGATAGTCTGAAGGCTAGAGTAACGTTCCAGGACAGTTGCACTGAGAGTTTTCACGCACAGATGAAGGCCTCGTCGTCGCTGATGTCAATGGACGCAAAAATATCGTTCCGAAATATTTCAAGGAAAGTTGTAAGTTGGTCGCGCCTCATCTCAAACGCTTTGCCTTTCTCCACAGGACAAGAGCTGCTATGCTTGTCATCTGCTAGCTCTGGATGATTTCTACTTCACCACCAACGAAGTAAGAATACACACGATCGTTGCGAGGTTGGTTGATTACCGTCGGCGGTATCACCTCGATCTTGAAATGAACTTTTTTTAGCCTTGGCATGCCCATTTATTTTTGTGTGGTCACAGTGTACTATCACGTCCTCTTTTCCAGCATCACTGTTACCATGGTTACGGCACCTGCGCGTGCATCACTAGCACTACTAGTCCATCGGCCAAGTCTCAAAATCGAAAGTGGTGATGCACTGAGCTTCCAACTAAACGCGACCATACCCAGCACGTAGAGAATATATCAGAGAACACTATTCCGTTTGTTGGACGTGCCGAATTCAGTCCAGGGCGTCGATACGAAGCGTTCTTCGTCGCCGAGTTTTTTACTGTGCGCTCCATTTGAGAGTGCGCAGAGTTCTGATCGAGAGTTTTTTGAGCAGATTTTCAAATTTTTGAGGCTGTCAGCTGACAGCTGTCAACCCTAAATGGCACTTAGTATGTGACAGGCAATAGGTTTTGGTGCCTCCGTATGCCTTCTAATAAGGTCTATCTTCCTTCGTTTCACTTCGCTGCTTCGCCCACCACCTCAGGAGATGACAGCGTACCTGCACTAGTCAGCTCTCGCTAGCCCTGTCGCTCTTTCTCCGTCTTAGCGCTCGTCATTCGTGTCCTTCTGCTGGGGCGAGCTTGATACTGTTGTGTCGTAGTTTTTAGGCAATAGTGGCTGTTGTTCGCGTGACGATCAGGATTTATGGAGAAAGACGACGACTCGCCAAGTTCCCATGCAGCCACAGACGGCGTAGCAATTCTTACCGCCAACCCTTCGAGCAACGGAACCGGCCTGAGTTGGAAATCGTGTCTGTGTAATTGTGCCACGATACGGATGAAACACACAGGCCCACATGTGACGAGATGAAGATAATCTCAACAGGCTGACGGAAATCCAACAGGCTCACGGGAACGCTGCAGTTATGGTCGGAGACGCGGAGTTATTTAGTCACTGGTAAATGTTGCATCGAGTGCTGTGTGCTCTAACACAATTGTAAAAATCATGAAAAAGCGAAAATAATGCAATGGTGGGGCTGAGTGGTGTTCTGTGGAAGAGATGCCGCTGTCTCAGTATTCAACGCCGGACCCTGTATTTCAAGTCTGTGGTCATGCTCGATCATAAGTTCCTGTATGGCTCCAGTGCCTTCTCAGCATTGTTGGCGGGTAAGCACCTGGATCGTGTCCAAGTACTGCGGCTCTGGTGGCTTGATGGATGTACAGGTGCTCGCCGTGCACCCCTGCCGGCAATCTGCTAGTGAAGCTTCAAGGTACCTACTGTGTCCGGGAGATTTTCATCCAGAAGCTGATCTTCCTAGGCTGGAGCTGCTGCTACTCCTGTGCTAGCCCTCAACCACTGGCGCTCCTACTCGGCTCCAGTGTGGGCCATAAACCACCCTGCCCGATTTCGCACTGTTGCTATTCCACACCGTCAGCATTTAACTCTGAGGTCAGACCTCGATCCCTCCCACCATATACTATCAGTCTGTCTGCCTCTCTCTCACACACAGATGTGCGCGCATACACACAAACACACACGCACACACACACACATGCACACACAGTAACACAAACATACACATAGCCAACTTCTCTGTGTTTGGTGATCATCATCTGTTTTCTGATGTGCAAGCTCACCTCTGATGCCGATCACTTCCTTGCTTAGACCCGGTCTGCTATTACTAGTATTAGAGCAGTCTGCTCTCCCTTCACTCGCTTGTAAATCCTACTTGGAGCAGTAAGGTTGTGTCACTGCTCCTACTGATGTCATTGTTGTGAAAGCAATATCATCGCCATTGGTGGTAATTTTCCACCGTGCATGAATCATTAACAATCATCATCTATGTGTCACGGCCTAACCATCCTCGTAACTCCCCTCATCGTGACTAGTGCTGTACCGTTGAAACCTACTTTGCTTCAGTGTATATTCTCTCCAAAGCTCTTGTTTTGTTGCATAGTGATCTGACGCAGTGTGCTATAGCCTGTCGGGTAATATGGATAAGATTAGTACAGTCGGCATCGCCTATCGAGTGACCAGGTACATGTATAAGGATACTAGTACATGTATACCGGCTTTGATATCGGAACACAAATAGCACTATGTGTGCAATATTCCTTTCTAAGCTCACGCTGTGCGGTGCAGATACGTCATGTGTCGTTGCCAACTTGCCGCATGTGCATGTGCAGCAGGAAGGCACCACATGTCGACTACTACTTATACTGTACAGCATTGTGTGCTTACATGCATCTACGGCCTTGTGGATGCAATTGAGTCTCACATACATGTACATGAAATATTGCTTGTAGTGCGGCATCAGGTGTTAACATACAATGGCTAAATATTTTTCTCACAATAATGACCGTATTCACCACAAGTGTGTTTATGTCCAGAGCCAACTCAAGTCCTGTATTATTTATGACCATGACAACAAGACTTCCGGGCTGAAATTCTTCTATGACAGGCATGAACACTTGCCTTAATTGTACGAAGTATATATTCGCTGTTGCATCAATTTTGCACCATTTACATTGTAGTGCCACTAGTGGTATCACCTGCATGCGTTTTGAGTCAAACAAGGTTACCTCTGTATAATTATGCTTATCGTGGCTATCAAGAGCTTCGATGCAAATTCCCAGCTGACGAATGGTGTCCAGCTTGTGTTCAGCTCAGCTGGCACTCACAACTCATAATAATTGCGTTCTAGACGCCAGATGAGATGTTTCAGCTACAATGTAGACAAAACGTCCGTGTTCAAGAAAGCCGTCACTTCATCTTCTGTCCATCCTCAATAGCACGTTCAAGCAAATACGTCTGAAACACAGTAGCGACAATCCGACAGCGGCGACACGCCGTCTTCTCCGAATGAGCTTCTACCGTTCTAATTCAGATTCCCCCAAAATGTCAAAATAAATAATAGATTTCCACCAAGCTCGCTAGAATCTTGCGAACCGACAACATGCAGGCATTTCAAGTGTTTGAGCGTGCGTAGATTCTGCTCAGCGGCTCAAGAACATTCGCCAAGCGAAAAAAAAGTCGACGAGAAAGATGTAATGGTGGACGAAATTACGAAAATCGAAAGAAGGTATTCGACCCAGTTCGACTATCCTGGACTGGATTGGCAACGTCCAACAAACGGATTCGTATTCTATGGGGTCTCATGAGCTAGTGTGCCAAAGGGCATTTAGTTGGAGCTTCAGTGCATCACCTTCGCCGAAAGAGGCCCTTTCTGAGAT